GCGATCTGTAGCCAGTGTTTTATATTGTATTGTCTTCTTTAATTAAAATGTTTTCGTTGTTTTCAATTATAGGATATTTATAGGATATGTATATAGCACACACATATCCACGCAACTAGTACATGCTCAAGGCGAAATAGTTTTACATGCTATTTTATATTCATATCTGTGATACTCTAGTATTTTACTGTGCATCGTCGGCAGGTTTTCCTCTTCAAAATGTTTTTTGTATAAATTGTTTTCGTCACGATATGGCTGAGACATTGCCGATGTGACGTTAAATATTAACTCACTCAGTCACGGTTAGATAGCCTAGTGGATTTCGCTCGTCAAGCTGAAGACCTGGGTTCGATTCGCCACATGGGTACAATGTGTGAAGTCCATTTCTGGTGTCCCCCGCTGTGATATTGCTAGAATATTGCTAAAAGCGGCGTAAAACTGAACTCACTCACTGTTCATAGGAAGTATGCAGCTATATTGAAAATTTTCCTCCCTTAGGAGAATGCCCTTAATTGTTTCTGCCGTTGCCTTCGCAGATGCGAGTATAATAATGTTTGACATTGGCGTGATAAATATGAGCCTACTGACATGAGTTTGACTTCTAGATAAATGTTTAGCAATTACATGCAAATACAAATATTTTCAGCCATACGTTTTAGACATTTTCAGCAACACAGTCAAGTTAAAGACTGTCACCACAGTGACTGCCCACCAATACCAATCCTTGATTAAAAGAAACACTGGTCTTTATTCTCGTGACGGAACCTTCGCTATAGCATTGACGAAATTGTTCAAACCCTCCGTTGGTTATCATAGTAAACAAATGTTTGCCTTGCAGAGGCCGCCATTATGCAGTCATGGCCCTGGTTAGTGCACCCCCGTGAAGGTTCAGTAACCCATGCTTGTCGTAAGAGGCGACATACGGGATCGGGTGGTCAGGCTCGCTGACTTGGTTGACACATGTCATCGTATTCCAATTGCGTAGATCGATGTTCATGCTGTTGATCACTGGATTGACTGGTCCAGACTCGATTATTTACAGACCGCTGCAATATAGCTGGAATATTGCTGAGAACGTTGTTAAACAACAAACAAATAGTGTAGTGTTCGGGACAGCGAAATCAGGGAACTAGACAGAACATTTTGTGACTGCGTTTACATAGAAACAACAACAACAACAAAAATGTTCGGGTTCATATCAAAAGTCCATTCGTTTAGTAAAATGTTATGATGCATTCCCTTTGCAATACCCAACCTATACCTTTAGGCATACGTTCTGGGTTATTAATGCATTCAGTATGGGTTCTTTAAATATTACAGGGCCACCAAGGTGAAACCGGAAACGCCTTAAATATTTCGTGTCTTGAATCTCCAAGTTTCACTTCTCATCCTGCTTGCTCGAAATCTGTGAACCAATCATCGAAAAAGCAATATGGGATATCCATCGAAAGTTCCAGATTTTATTCACTCGAAATCAGATACCATCATAAATCCAGATGGCACCGCTCCCAGTGCAGATTGACTGAAATGTCCGGATATAATAATCATGGTTTTGAAGTCATTGCCCACTGTATCACGTCTCAAACAATTCCATCCATAAAAGGAATATCCATAGAAACGTGGATCCGGAAACACGAGATTACATGAATCAAAATACAGTGAAGGAATGTTGGTTTTAGATATTTTATATATAAGGCAACAAGCATAAAAACGTCCAACACATACACACTTAGAGACGTTATACGAAAGCAAAACGTGGACCTCCTTCTGCGTTGTACGTTGAAATGTTTATTGTCAATGCCTGGATGTCATCTGATGTATTGCTCTGACATGTGTCCTCGTCGTGTTGGTGATCGTCCTTGCTGGACCACTGGTCCTTTGTATAACGGGCATATTATTTTCCTGTCAGATAGGTCCACAAAAACACTCGACAAACGTGAGCTAACAAACCTGTTGGTTGATATACCTGTAGTATATACAGTTGATATCACATTCCTCCACATGCATCGTTCTGAACTAACAAACCTGTTGGTAGATATATCCTTAGTATATACAGTATATATCACACTTCATCGCTCTGAACTATCAAACCGGTTCGGAGATCTCCTAGAACGTACATACACCTAATCTTACACTCCCTCCACAATCGTTGGTCTGAACTTACAAACCAGTTCGGAGATCTCCTAGAACGTACATACACCTAATCTTACACTCCCTCCACAATCGTTGTTCTGAACTAACAAACTGGTTCGGAGATATCTCAGAACGTATATACACCTAATCTTACACTCCCTCCACAATCGTTGGTCTGAACTAACAAACCAGTTCGGAGATCTCCTCGAACGTACATACACCTAATCTTACACTCCCTCCACAATCGTTGTTCTGAACTAACAAACCGGTTCGGAGATCTCCTAGAACGTACATACACCTAATCTTACACTCCCTCCACAATCGTTGTTCTGAACTAACAAACCAGTTCGGAGATATCTCAGAAAGTATATACACTAAATATTGAACTTCCTCCACACTCGTCGTTCTGAACTAACAAACCGGTTCGGAGATATCTCAGAACGTATATACACCTAATCTTACACTCCCTCCACAATCGTTGGTCTGAACTTACAAACCAGTTCGGAGATCTCCTAGAACGTACATACACCTAATCTTACACTCCCTCCACAATCGTTGTTCTGAACTAACAAACTGGTTCGGAGATATCTCAGAACGTATATACACCTAATCTTACACTCCCTCCACAATCGTTGGTCTGAACTAACAAACCAGTTCGGAGATCTCCTCGAACGTACATACACCTAATCTTACACTCCCTCCACAATCGTTGTTCTGAACTAACAAACCGGTTCGGAGATCTCCTAGAACGTACATACACCTAATCTTACACTCCCTCCACAATCGTTGTTCTGAACTAACAAACCAGTTCGGAGATATCTCAGAAAGTATATACACTAAATATTGAACTTCCTCCACACTCGTCGTTCTGAACTAACAAACCGGTTCGGAGATATCTCAGAACGTATATACACCTAATCTTACACTCCCTCCACAATCGTTGGTCTGAACTTACAAACCAGTTCGGAGATCTCCTAGAACGTACATACACCTAATCTTACACTCCCTCCACAATCGTTGTTCTGAACTAACAAACTGGTTCGGAGATATCTCAGAACGTATATACACCTAATCTTACACTCCCTCCACAATCGTTGGTCTGAACTAACAAACCAGTTCGGAGATCTCCTCGAACGTACATACACCTAATCTTACACTCCCTCCACAATCGTTGTTCTGAACTAACAAACCGGTTCGGAGATCTCCTAGAACGTACATACACCTAATCTTACACTCCCTCCACAATCGTTGTTCTGAACTAACAAACCAGTTCGGAGATATCTCAGAAAGTATATACACTAAATATTGAACTTCCTCCACACTCGTCGTTCTGAAATAACAAACCAGTTCGGAGATATCTCAGAAAGTATATACACTAAATATTGAACTTCCTCCACACTCGTCGTTCTGAAATAACAAACCTGTTCGGAGATATCTCAGAAAGTATATACACTAAATATTGAATTTCCTCCACATTCGTCGTTCTGAAATAACAAACCTGTTCGGAGATATCTCAGAACATATACACACCAAATACTGCACTCCATCCACTCTCATCGCTCTGAACTAACAAAACAATCGGTAGATGCACCAGCATGTGTAATATCATATTTCTTCCGCTCTCATCGATTAATATAAAGAACGCCCTTCTCATTTAAAATGTCCTGAACCAGCTAACAGCTGCAGGCTGGTAGATATTTAAGAACGTATAAGGAGCTCATTTAAATTGTCCTTCAAACTAATCGTAACTCGTCGTAATAAACTGCTGACTGACTGACTGACTATGGTTTTACGCCGTTTTTAGCAATATTGCAGCAATTTGACGGCGGGTAACACCAGAAATGGGCTTCACAAATTGTACCCATGTGGGGAATCGAACCCGGGCCTTCTGCATGACGAGCGAACGCTTTAACCATTAGGCTACCCCATCGCCCCTGTAATAAACTAAAAAGCTGTTGGTAGATAAATCAGTACAAATGAACAGCTTTCCTTTCCATCCACATTCATCGTCCTAAACGCACGCACCAGTTGAAGATATCCCAGTTAGTATGAAGAGCTCTTATAAATGGTCATTCACACTCAATTTCTGGAACTAACAAATCAGTTGGTAGCTATACAACAACGTATAAAGACTTAGAGATAGTACCTTCAGACCCGTCAGTAAATATTCTAGTGCGTATGAGCAGCCTATATTACAATTCCACCACATTCACTGTTCTGAATTAACCAACCCGTTGGTAGATATCAGTACGTATAAACATCTTGTATCACATTTCCTCCACAATCATTGGTGTGAAGTAACCAGCCAATGGGTATATATCCCAGAATGTATGCACATCCAATATTACAGTACGTATATACACCCAATGAAATAATTCATCCAAACTCATCGTTCTCAACTAACTAACCAATTGGCAGATATACAGTGCACGTGACATATGATAACACATTTCTTGCACTCAAAAAACCCAACAACACTGAAATATTTAAGTTGTCCATTGTGCTCGCGGCGAGTACATCTAGCACGTTTCAGGACAGTTCTGTAACCTGAAATCATCTTTTCTACGATCTTTTCAAAATACGTTCCTCCATCGCCGTACTTGCGATCCTACATTGTCGTAGTAAAGAGTGTCGGTTTTTGTGAATTAATGACGAAACCTTAGTGGGAGTAGAGTCTATATGACTTCGGTGAGTTATAAATATCCACAGAAGTCGAATAAGCCCAACTTACTGCATGAGTGAATTAGAAAGTTTAGTTTTAAAACTAAATGGCAGCGGTCTGTAAATAATCGACCAGGCAATCCCGTGATCAACAGCATGAGCATCGTTCTACGCAAATGGGATATGATGACATGCGTCGACCAATCCAGTTAGTCGCCTCTTACGACAAGCATGGGTTGCTGAAGATTAATTATAACCCGGATCTTCACGGGTCCTGACTGCATGAAGTTAAATTTGCATATAGATGTACATTCTTCAGAAGAAATATTGCCATTTGGGTAATGCCACATCAGTGTCCATTGGCAGAGCACTCTCTGGTCATGCAGGAAAAGGGACATGGCTTGATTCGGACCGAGGATACATATAAAGAATACAGAACAAAGCGGCGGTTTGTACATGCCAACACAGAATATTCAAACTTGAAAAGAACTGAAGGGCGGAAAACCTCACGAACCCACTAACGATCCAATTCCTGAACCAGCAGTATAGTCTTGGAAGCGAAGGCCTCTCTGCTTAACACTCTAACGATCCAGTTCCTGAATCAGCAACATGGTTTTGAAGGCGGAGGTCTCTCTGTTTAACACTCCTCAACCAGAAATATGATCTTAAAGCCGAGGTCTCTCTGCTTAAGACACTACCAATACGGTTCCTGAACCAGCAACATAGTCTTAAAGGCGGAAGTCCCTCTGCCAAACACACTACCAATCCAGTTCCTGAACCAGCGACATAGTCATGAAGGCGGAAGTCCTTCTGCAAAACACACTACTAATCCAGTTCCTGAACCAGTGACATAGTCTTAAAGGCGGAAGTCCCTCTGCCAAACACACTACCAATCCAGTTCCTGAATCAGCGACATAGTTTTGAAGGCGGAAGTCCTTCTGCCAAACACACTACTAATCCAGTTCCTGAACCAGTGACATAGTCTTAAAGGCGGAAGTCCCTCTGCCAAACACACTACCAATCCAGCAACTGAACCCGTGACATAGTCATGAAGGCCGAGGTATCCCTGCCAAACATACTACCAATCCAGTTCCTGAACCAGCGACATAGTCATGAAGGCCGAGGTATCTCTGCCAAACACACTACCGATACAGTAACTGAACCAGTGACATAGTCTTGAAGGCGGAAGTCCCTCTGCCAAACACACTACCAATCCAGTTCCTGAACCAGCGACAAGGTCTTGAAGGCGGAGGTATCCCTGCCTAACACACTAACGGTCCAGTTCCTGAACCAGCAACATAGTCTTGAAGGCCGAGGTCTCTTTGCCAAACGCATTACCGATCCAGTAACTAAACCAGCAATATGGTGTTAGAGGCGAAGGTCTCTTTGCCAAACACACCAATGATCCAGTTCCTGAACCAGCAATGCAGCAATATGGTCTTATTGGCGGAGTTTTCTACACACTTGTAGGGTCACGTTAACCTTTCCAAAGTCGGAGAATGCTCACGATTATGAAGTTTGTCCATATGGCTTTTCTCGGTACCAGCTATGTAAAACCTAAATGTCACAAAGGTCACTTATTCTGTGGGTAGAACCTTGTTAAAGGGAGGCCTCTGTCGGAATTCATAGAAGATCAAGACCAATATCATATCACATGTCGAGATGCGTTCGTATAAATCTAAAAAAATAATCTCAATTCAAACTCTCACAAATATGTTCCGCCACATGGAGTACTGTGGAGAAAAGTTTGTACCCATATATACGGAATCGAACCTGGGGATTCGGCGTGACGAAAAATGTTTTTCCCATAAGGCTATTTCAACACCCGTTTTCAGTCGATGTCAGTGTTGTTCCACCTGTCCAAATCTTTATTGGGTCTTTAAGAAAATGTTTCACAACTGGGTCGATGTTTAGATGAGACAACTGTTTCGAAGCGAACCAAAGCAGCGAACCGGTTAACAAATCCAGTTGTGGAACTTGTTGACAGGATACTTCAGGAATAAAAACCAGTTTGCGAACTGGAATAACCGGAAGTTGACGTGTCGCTTGTGTCCACGCTGGTTGTCCTTCCGACAGATGGCTTGGTATTTTCTTGGCGGACGATCGTATCAGCTGATTTCGTCTGCGATGAGTGAATCGTCTCCTGTTTAGGGACACTTTCCAGTGCGAGGTATTCCTGTACGATAAAAGAAAAACTGTCAGCATGGACCAAATTTTACATCTGGAACGTAATCATCATCTGAAGCGGCGGGGTAGCCTAGTGGTTAAAGCGTTCGCTCATCACGCCGAAGACACGGGTTCGATTCCCCACATGGGCTCAATGTGTTGAGCGCACTTCTGGTGTCCCCCGCCGTGATATTACTGAAATATTTCCAAGAACAGCGTAAAACCTTACTTCAAAAATGGCTACAATCTGAGAAGCACATTTCTGGTTACCCCTGACGTGATATTGCTGGAATAGAGCTATATATACTCACTCAATCACTGACTCATCATTGGGTTGGGTATTTGCCACTATTGAACAGCGTTTAAGATAAATCATGGCGTGTGACTTAGTTGGAAGACACGCAACGTGATGAGGATGGACGGTTATAACTTCGGTGGAACTAATACCACTGATTTACATCAAACATAATGCTATAGTTTGGCATGAAATGCATGTGGACCCGGTTTTTTGTAAATATCTCTTCATCCAATGACCCAATCGATCTCAAACTGTGCAAGTGGATGTTTTGTCAGACAACATAATCACATTGTAAATCACCGATTTTATGCATTTGTATTAAAGAATCTGTCTATGTAACTGTCAACAGTAACTGGCAACAGATCCGAATCCTCTTAGACTTCAACACCGCCCAGCTTCTAACGACCAGCCTTGTTCTCTCTAAACTTGATTACTGCAACTCCCTCTATTACAACTTTCCTCAACAGCTCCTTTCACAACTCAAACGGATTCAGAATTCAGCCGCCCGTGTTGTTGCCCGTGCACCACGCTACCAAACTGTGACACCTATCCTCCAAACTCTTCACTGGCTTCCTGTATCAAGCAGAATTCAATACAAACTTCTTCTTCTTACACACAGTTGCATCTATGAAAACATGTTTTCTCAATATCTTAAAAGCCTCATTCATCTCCATGTTCCAAGCCGATTGCTCCGCTCGTCAAACTCCCTACTGCTTACACAGCCTCACGTCAAAACAGCCATGGGATCAAGAGCGTTCTCTGCTGCAGCCCCCTATCTCTGGAACATTCTACCACTCACCCTAAAAGAAATAGAATCTGCTGATGCTTTCAAAACTCATCTGTTCAAACTCTCTTTTCCATAGACATTGTCTACAATCTTTTCTCTTCATAGCGCCATTGAGCAATAACTTTTGGAAATAGGCGCTCTATAAATCAATTATTATTATTATTAAATAAACAGCAGAACGCAGACGGCTTGCAGAGGGAGGGAGCCAATGACCTGTAACAGCGGCAGTGGTGGGTCATAAAGGTCAACGTTCGTCAATGTAGGTCAGCTATGCACGTGACAGGTATGAAGAGGTGTCACAGGTCGTGAATAGGGTAAGGTGGGTGCCAACTGTTAACCATCATACGGAGTTTGTTTCTCTGTGTTGTTCAACATTAACCACAAAACCCATTAGTGAGAATTATTCTGTAGGTTAAAATCTTTAAATTTGTAATGTTAATGTCATATTTTGTTTATGCAGTACCTAAGTGGAAATGCATTTAAAGAACACAGAACGTATATTTACACTAAATCATTATTCGGACAACCTATGGTTAGAACTCAACAACAGTTAAAGCCCCGTTCCCTCGGACACAAGCGCACACAATCATGCACACTTATTGAAGAAAAGATAGAATGAAGACAAAAGTGTTATGTTTTGATGTCGTTCACATTCCAAATTAAGCAATGCATTTCTAATAGCTTTAAGCATATAGATAGTTAATATTTATATTTTCATGATAATTTTATGTGAAATGAGTGTTTCATGTTACACTATAAGTCGTTGGAATTAGTCAGTGCTGTCATTGTTAAAAGAAATTATATTTCTTTGAGCATTTCTGGCTGGATACTATTATTATCTGTAAATAATATAACAGAATTAAACTTCATCAAGTTCACTCAATTCTTCCACAGAGGAGTCATCAGTGTCCAGACGAATGACAACTGGATTAACTGTTTGCTCCTTCAAGCCATCTTTCTCCACCTTCTTGACATGCATGCCAGCGTGCAATGTCAATGTCACATATAGCAGTGTTGACAATGTGCTTGACATCATTCAACTTGATTGATTGATTTTTCCGGGCCACTGTACTTGTAAGGTCTCCCCAGATAAGTTCGATTGGGTTGAGATCACAGTGGTACGGTGGTAATCTCAAGACCTTATGGCCGTGTTGGCGTAGTATGTTGTCAATGTTATATGTGGGTGGAGGTTTGTTAGGTTTAATCAAAGAGTACAACTGTGGTTTAGTGGCCTTAATTGAAAATTGTATATTGTTATTTGTTAGCCATTGCTGCATATCTGACTTCTTTGTATTGGCACCTATTGTTTGGATCTCGAACACTGTGATAGGGAGCATTGTCCATGACAACAAGACTTTTGTAAGGCAGAGCTGGCAACAATTGTTCCTCAACATACTGTGTGAAAACCGTTGAGTTCATTTCTGTATGATAGTCCCTACCATCTGTGCTCTTTGACCGAAATACCAGATCACACCCAGGTAGGAATCCACGGTGGGAACCAGCATGAAGAATGATTAAACGTTCACCTTTGCCTGTTGGTATTTTCCTACCATCACTGGGATCAGTGGGTAGCCACTGTCTGGCAGCAGTATGGTTTGCATTGACCCAGGTCTCATCCAGATATATGGGTTCGAACCCATCCTCTCTTGCCTGCTTAATTTCTCTCAGATACACCTTATTTTCACAATATCAGATCTCTCACACATTTCAAGTTTCTGGTTTGCTACCTTCTTGTACTTGTATCCAAATTTGAGTAGTAGTTTGCTTAGCATAAACCTAGAAACATTAATGTCGTGATCCTCTGCGAGGATGTGTTTTAACTTTCTTGTGGACAGGTGTTCATTTCTAGCAAATAGCCGGCGAATGACATCTCTGATGACCCTGATGTCAAAAGAATCTAACTTTGGATGCCTACCTTTTTGTACAAGGTTTTGTTTATTGGTTGTTGGTTTATTTTTCACAATTTTTAGCACGATGTTCTTTTTCATGCCAAGAGCAAAAGTTGTACGTTTCATGTAATCCGACACGTTATAAATCGGTTTGCCTCGTTTGCTCTCTTTTTAAAAAAAATTCAACACATTTCTTATTAAACGTTTAGCATCATCTGAAGCAGCTTTCATGATGACAGCTAGAAGTAGTCAGTGTGAATGATCCAAACGGTCTATCACTGTGCAGTGCACAGGTAACTATCATGAACTGCACGTGCATTTACCTTTATGACCCAACACTGCCGCTGTTACAGGTCATTGGCTCCCTCCCTCTGCAAGCCGTCTGCGTTCTGCTGTTTATTTTGTTGACAGTTACATAGACAGATTCTTTAATACAAATGCATAAAATCGGTGATTTACAATGTGATTATGTTGTCTGACAAAACATCCACTTGCACAGTTTGAGATCGATTGGGTCATTGGATGAAGAGATATTTACAAAAAAACGGGTTCACATGCATTTCATGCCAAACTATAGCAAGTTGTTAAAATTATATTTCACGCCACTTACAACACGGAAGCACCATAATGAGAGAAGATCGGGAATCAAACCATAGGATCCTGATACGCCGAGGGGACGTAACTCGTTCAGCAAAATGCCGGACTATTGGTATACAACCTGGAGCTCTATCAATACTGTAATCTCACACGCAGCTACTTAGACAACTGGATACATTTCGCCATGGAAACATCATACCCGTGAAGAACAAGACGTACCCGTTCTGCAACTCCCAGAAGCAGCTGGTCGAGAATCTCTGTCAGTCTGTGGAATGGCGGCCTCTGTCTGGGATCTTCGTTCCAGCAAGCGCTTATAATTCCATACCTGAAGCAAACATTTTTCGCTGTTAAAACTACGTCCGTTTGCATACGAGTTTATGTTAAGAGACATTACCTTGACCATAGTTTGCTGGGATCGTTGGGATGTTAAAGTTGTAATACGATAATAAAGTTTAAATCATCATATTTAGCTACAATGTTCCCTGGTAGTTTGCCGCCATTCCTAAGATTCCAGGGAGAAATAAACCCAGACATGATGAACCCTGAATGTCTATCAAAGCCCATATATGATGCTTATCCATAAGGCTGCGGCGGGGACAAAATACCGTTGGCACTTACAGTTTATCAGGACAGTAAGGGAGCTGGGCCACGCGGTAGCCTGTACTTACAGTTTATAAGGACAGTTTGGGGGCTGGGCAACGCAGTAGACTGTACTTACAGTTTGTCAGGACAGTTAGGGGGCTGGGCCACGCGGTAGCCTGTACTTACAGTTTATAAGGACAGTTTGGGGGCTGGGCCACGCAGTAGACTGTACTTACAGTTTGTCAGGACAGTTAGGGGGCTGGGCCACGCGGTAGCCTGTACTTACAGTTTGTCAGGACAGTTAGGGGTCTTGGTCATGCGGTAGCCTGTACTTACAGTTTGTCAGGACAGTTAGGGGTCTGGGCCACGCGGTAGCCTGTACTTACAGTTTATCAGGACAGTAAGGGAGCTGGGCCACGCGGTAGCCTGTACTTACAGTTTGTCAGGACAGTTAGGGGTCTGGGCAGTTAGGGGCTGGGCCACGCGGTAGCCTGTACTTACAGTTTGTCAGGACAGTTGGGGGTCTGGGCCATGCGGTAGCCTGTACTTACAGTTTGTCAGGACAGTTAGGGGTCTGGGCCACGCGGTAGCCTGTACTTACAGTTTGTCAGGACAGTTGGGGGGCTGGGCCATGCGGTAGCCTGTCCTGTGGAGCTCCGACAGATGGTCAGCAGGCACTCCGGGGTAGGGGCTCCCTCCCAGGGTGGCGATCTCCCACAGGACGACGCCAAATGACCACACGTCGCTCTTGGTGCTGTACTGACCCCACAATAACGCCTCCGGACTGAGCCACTTGTAGGGGAGACGGCCCTGTGCAGAACAGAGGGAGGATGTTGACACTGAGTGCATCAGAGTGGAGTACGACGTGTTCCAGTCTTTCAGAGTAAATGAGTATGATATCACGCCCATGTTGAAAACATTATAGCAATATCACGGCAGGGGACACCAGAAATGGGCTTCACACGTTGTACCCATGTAGGGAATCGAACCCGTGGTCTTCAGCGTGACGAGCGAACACTTAAAGCACTGGGCTACTCCACTAGTATGTTCACTACAGTCTTATGTCATTATCACCATCATAATTGTCCTTACCTTAGATGCTCTGAAGTAGTAGCCATTTTCATACACGTCCCGAGTTAGCCCGAAATCAGAGATCTTTGCGATTGGTCCGGCTGCGATGAGTACATTCCGCGAGGCAAGATCCCGATGCACGCACTGTAGAAGAGAGTGAGTGAGTTAATGAGTTGGTGAGTTGAGTCTTAAGCAACTTTGACGTGACGAGGGTCTTTAACGTTTACAAGTTTTGGTGAAACTCAGTAACACGGTTGTGATCATCGGATCCTTGTCGGCTTGGGGGACGCAACTCTGCATAGCGAATTGTGGTGCTTTGTACACACTTTGTAAATATGCAAAATCAAGATAGTGATAATAATGTGTCCATTTATATAGCGCCAAACTCCACACCAGGTATGCTCATAGCGCTAACAATGAATAGCACAGCACATTATTACCCCGGATAACCCAAGCTGCCTGTTAGACGCTAGAAGGTTATAGTCACATTTCTTATCCCACCGGGTACCCGTTTTCTGCTGGGTGAACTGAGGCAGTTTTGAACAAACTCGCTTGCCTAGTGCAGGACAAAACATTATATAACAGAAAGTCTGTAGTGCTACAGAGAAGTCATAATGAATATAACATGCTTGTTTGGCTTCGTCGTAACCTTTTTCTCGTGTTTTCTCGTTTGTTGTTTAACGCCGCAGTCAGCATATTCCAGCTATATGGCGGCGGTCTGTAAATAATCGAGTCTGGACTAGACAATCCACAGATCAACATCTTGAGCATCGATCCACGCAATTGGGATACCTTCAAAACTTTTGATAATGCGCCTTAAAATACTTATACCTCAATTGAAGAGTCTTCAATTTATATATAAAAATACATGTATGTATGTATGTATGTATGTATGTATGTATGTATGTATGTATGTATGTATGTATGTATGTATGTATGTATGTATGTATGTATGTGATGTATGTATGTATGCATGTATATATATTGCTGTGTGAGTGCGTGTGTGTGTGCATGCGTGCGCATAAACATGATGCTTACTAATCTGGCATAGAGTCAATATTGTAAGTAGTATGTTTGTTTTGAAGAATTTATCAGCTAATACTTAAGACGTGTATACAAACTGGCGAGCTAGACTCTGTTCCGAGCTATAAATCAGATTTGACAAAAAGGAACAAGAAGCACTGTCAGTTATATCCTCTGTAATTATGATTTAAGTAAACAGACATCAATGATACAGAGCTATAATGTTCTGGCAGTGGATATATAGGACCCAGGAGGATAACAAGAGGATATATTGCCAGTTAACAGTCCGTAAACACAATGTGGTTCAAATAAAAGCCTCTCAGTTGGCAGTATTGATCTTGACGTTTTAATTAGTGTTTTGTGTCTACATGAGACATTGTCTGAGTAATTAAGGCTGTCACTAAGAGCTACACTGATATATCTGATAACGGTTGATTGAACAGACAGACTGGACTTTTGTGTGAGGCATGCTCTTCAGATAAACTTGTTGAGAACCCAAGAGTCCCCGTATCCACGTTTAAGTGAGTGAGTGTGTGAGTGTGAGTGAGTGAGTGAGTGAGTGAGTGAGTGAGTGAGTGAGTGAGTGAGTACTGCTTTACGCCGCTTTCATCAATATTCCAGCACTATCACGACCGGGGTTAATTAGTCCCCGTATCCACGCCTTGAGTGAGAGTGAGTGAGTGAGTGAGTGAGTGAGTGAGTGAGTGAGTGAGAGTGAGTGAGTGAGTGAGTGAGTGAGTGATATTCCAGCACTATCAGTGAGTGACCGCTTTCATCAATATTCCAGCACTATCACGACCGGGACATCTGACATGGGTTTCACACATTGTACCCATGTGGGGAATCGAACCCGGATCTTCGGCGTGACGAGCGAATGCTTTAACCACTAGGCTACCCCACTAGAACTGTAATTTTTACACTCTATAACATGGGTGAATCGGTTTTATTGTGACCCGACTGATTAGTTTGCTTCTTGTGTTTTTAGCAACTGGTTTGTCTGGTCCAAATTTGATTATTGACCTTTGTATGCGTCTGTGACCTTTGCGATCGGTCCGACAGGAAACGATAACCTTTACGCGAACACCATCTATCATCAGAATCAACGTGAACACCATTTATCATCAGTATCATCATGAAAACATACCGATGGTATTGAAAGCATTTTATAATGTTTTGTTTTTTTGTTTTTTTGTTGTTGTTTAAACCCGCACCAGAGCTAGCTTTGTAGAATCCCAATGGACATTCTCAAGACGGAAGACGCATAACGGGTGTTTATAGGTTCTCACAATAAATAGTGATTTTGGTTCGTTGGCTTGTTGTTTAACGTCGCACTCAGCAATATTCCAGCTACATGGCGACGGTCTGTTAATAATCAAGTCTGAACCAGACAATTCAGTGATCAACAGCATGAGCATCGATCTACGCAATTGGAATAAGATGTGTCAACCAAGTTAGCGAGCCCGACAACGCCTCTTAAGACAAGCGTGGGTTGCCGTAGACCATTTCTAACCAAGATCTTCACGGGTGTAATTTCTTATGTGAACTGACAAGTAGTTACCTTGAGGGATTCTAGATGTGCCATTCCTCTGGCGATCTGCCAAGCAAACAACATCAGCTCGGTCTCCTCCGTGATTTGGCGAGACTTCTCCTCGGCAATAGCGCCATCTGCACTCACACTAACGTAGTTCTCCAACTTGGCCGACTTCTCCTTCAGATATGACAATAAGTTGCCCATCTCAGCGTACTCCATAAGTATCGCCATTTGACCTTCAAATAACAAGAAATGGGATACTTTCTTTTTTAAGGTAGAACAAAACTAAGTTCACATAAATAGACCAGGATTGAAATATTGTGTCTTGACCAGTTCAACAAAATAAGAATCAGTTAAATCAAGAAAACCAAAAGGTTAAGGACACAACAGGAGGATCATATAAAGGATATTTCTTGTGATGATCGCGCAAAAACTGTTTCTGAAGCAAATTGAGGAACATTTACTCAATGCTTCTTAAAGTAAAGGGGCAATGGGATAGCCAAGTGGTTAAAGCGTTCGTTCGTTCAGAGCCGGGTTCGATTCTCCACACGGGTACAATGTGAAACCCGTTTCTTATGTTCCCCGCAGTGAAATTGCTTGAACATTGCTAAAAGCGGCGTAAAACCATACTCACTCATTCTGAAAGTAAATGTAAACTACCGGGCAAAAGAAGGTATGCACGTGAAAATTGGGTTTTGACCACACAGTATCTACATCACTGCAAACATTAGCTCCAAAACACAGCTATGATATCAAAAACACCTTCATCTTATATCCATTTCTTGTTTTTTTTAATCTTAGCCATCAACGAGTGGGTGGATGGTTTCTTTTACCAGGCAGTTTAAATATTTACACCATCGTAACGCATGGACATCGAACTATACTCGGTAACAAGGAAGTCATGGCGATTCATAGATTAGAAACTGAACATAATATAAAGCAAATAATTTCAAAATAATAGAGCCTGCTTACAGCATGGCAGTAAGGATATCACTTTTAATTAACAAGTTTGAAAATCATTGGAAAGGATGACAAGTGTAATTTGAGCCGGGTTTAAACATATTCTATAACAACCATTAAGACTGCACGATCCCACGAGACCAATGATGTTTGTGTGGTTGCCAAGGAGACGCATTTGGTCCAGTTCTGTCTTGAATGCTTGTCTTTCCTCGTCCGACGCGCTATCTACAAACAGATAAATTGATTAATTGATGTTATTCTATCTGTCCTGCTTGATGGATACATTATTTAATAAACAATCGGCGTGGTGGGGTAGCCTAGTGGGTAGCGTGTCATGCGTCCGTGATATTGCTGGAATAGTGCTAAAATGGGCGTAAACTCACACTCGCTCATAATCAATCTAAAGTTATAGGTTTTCTCAGTTCTACTTGAGCAAAATGTATACGAGTTCAGTTGCAGTGGTTTTTCAGTGTTGCGTCCCTTTGTCCTTTCAGGATCCGCTTATCATGGATTCGGCCATGAACTTGGTTTGCACCGAACCTTAAAAGGTCTATGACACTCACATGTATATACGTGTCGTTCTCTTATCACATACGCATACACGCACACATGTACGTTTTACGTTTTGTGTACCTGTAACCACTGTGAAATCCGACAGCGAGTTTATGATTAGCAATATTTTAATTGAACTACTTTAGGTTGTGTTTAATGATTTTCAGCGTGCATCAGATACTTCACCAACCAAGCATGTTGAAGCAGGTAGATGATGGAAAAGGACTTATCAAACTCTTCTACTGGTTAGTCTGAAGGGAAATATCTTTCTCTGACACGTAAATTACTGCAACTAATTACACAAATACCTCTACAATGATCAATACCATTGATCTAAATGCACCTTTTAGTATAGCACATAATTAAAGTGGGCGATATTGCTGGAATGGCTTAAGTGGAGATTGAGACAGGAATAAATACTGACACGAGTTGTATTATTGAGCCGTATACGTGATGGAAATGTCAAAACAGTTTCAAGTGTTATCAAATTGAAATACGATTCTTACATACCAATTAACCTTTCAAATCCACGTTTTCGGCCTTAACTGCCTTAATTGCTCAAACATGGAGGGTTTGCTTTATTGAATACTCTTTCTCCTTCTTTAACTTGCTTTTTCAGTGCAACTGTTTATTGAAGTCTGTTCAATATGTTGCACAGAAAATAAAATGTCTGTCTTCAGCTAGTTAATTCAGTAAGAGTATTTTATTAAGTGCATTGTCTCCTTGAAATGATTTCATACTCGTCAAGGTTATGGTGATTCACACTGTGTTGGATTACTATGATATATTAAGGTATCTGTTTTGCGCTTTGTTGTCCAAATAACCAAACGGTTGTTATACATTAGATTGACAGATGAAGACCATTGATCTTCAGCAACCCATGATCGAGCGGTCAAACTGGCTGACTTGGCTGATGCATGTGAGTGAGTTAAAATTGTCGCATCAGCATAATTTCAACCAAATAGCGATTGACGCATGTCGTATCCAAACTGCGTTGAGCGACGCTCATGGTGTCAACCACTTGATTGTCTGTTCAAAAACTCGATTAGATTCAGGCAATCATCACCTAGCTGGACAATTGCATTGTCCAACGTTAAACAAACAAACAAACAAACAAATAAAGGAACAAACATAAGTTAATGTATGTTTGTAAGAAACTGACCCTTGAGGCGTTTGATCGCTACACGCAATGGACGATTGTCTGTTATCCCGGTACCGTACGCGAAGCCCTCGTGCACGTTTCCAAATGCCCCTCTTCCAAGAAGACGTCCAATTTTTATCCGCTTTACGGTAATATGAGTCCATTCGGCATACCTCCCCTCGAAGGAGAAATATTTTCCATCTGGAAATCTACACTCGTCTGGCGAACCGTGTATTATCTTCACTCCCTTTTTCTGAAAGATAAAACACACCCTTCAGGAGAACATTGAGACGAAATCAGGAAACACGGAGTGCTGAAGTTTGGATAGCTGAAAAGTTAAGTCTTGACATTACTTCTCACCAACGCTTATTAAAAATATAAGACTGACTGGGTAAGGTTTTACGGCGCTTTTATCAATATTCTAACAATATCACAGCGGGGATACCAGTTTTGAATGTTGTTTAACACCGTACTCAGCAATAGTCCAGCTATTTGATGGAGGTCAGTAACTAGTCCAGTCTGGATCCTAGTGAGCAACAGCATGGTCTGTCGTCAGAGGCGGTTAACTGGTTCGGGTGGCCATGCTCCCGGGTTCCCAGTTGCACAGATCGATGATAATGATATAGATCACTGGACTGTCTGGTCCAGACTAGGTTATTACAGGAGAGTGGTGTTAAACAACAACCAAACGGAACCTGTCTGACGAAAACACATGCTATCATAGTACATGTACATTCGTAACTACTCGTGTCATTCCGGTGAGCCGGGTGGCGACTCGTACCATTCTCGTGGCCATGTTCACGACTGGGTCTTGTCTAAGCGCAAACGGGCACGGAGATGAATATAGTCTAGGACTATTTCCAAGAAAAGATAACTTTGAATTTCCAAACATGGCTACTCCGAGAAATTTATAATACAACACGAAATACACTGTAAGTAAGTTTGTAATGTCTTTAGCACATATCAGTAACAAGATAATTTTATAATCACGGAAATAATAATGAAAATCGATATTCGCAAAGAAACTATTTGACTCATTTCACATTTTACTACGCGCGATTGGTTTGCCACGATTCTTGGCAATAATGGCGTATTCTTTAGGTGAGGCGAGGTGAGGTGAAATTGGGTTTTACGTCGTGCTTGAGAATATTTCGCTCATATGACGACGTGTACCCCACTCAGACACAGTATACTGACTCCGAGCCGACCAGTCCTTGTTGTACCCATTAGTGCCGAGCGTCAGGTAGGGACCAACAAGTACCATATTTTAACGTCTTTTGGTATGACGCGGTCGGGGATCAAACCCGCGATCTTCCGTTCTCCGGGCGGACACTCAAACCACTGCACCACGGAGGCGGTCTACTCTACAGGTACGAGTCTTGTAGGTCACGGAAAGAGGCGAGTAGTTACGAATGAGTACACGTATTGCATCTGAGTGTCTGGGAATATCAAGGTGGAATTGTTCCCTAGCAATCTGTGATGCAAGCGACTTTTTGGATCAGGTTGGCTCCCCGAGTGTAGCTCACAATATCAACCACTGGTTTGAGTCAAGACTCAGTCATAAAGCCAGAATATAGGAAACAAATCAAATTTGTCAATGTTGAATTGGGTGTTGACGAAGTGTTACCCTTGATGTAAAGAAAAGCTGTGCGTATCTGGACCGGCGACGTCGACAGCAGACAGCGAGGACGATGACGATGCAGGTGGCGGACAAAAAGGAGGCCACGCCCATTGGTACATACACTGAAATATTACGACATGAAAGACATTAAGTGACTGCATTAATGTATAATGATGTGCCGCTAAGGTTTAGGTCTCAGAATTCAGAGATCTATTTGCTAACTTATATTTACTTCATCTGTTATCAGGGAGGAGATAAAATGAGACTTGAGGCGCTGATACTATATAAGCATGAGACGTACGACAGCTTGTTTATATGCAGTTTTCTTACAGCTTGTTCAGCTTGACCTGATCAAGTGAATACTAATGCATTGCGTGACCGTGCCACAACTCGTTCGGTCTATTATTGTCAAGGGGTGCACTTTTGTCAGTTGATTGTCAACATGTCCGAACAACCGAGACAAGGTCGCCGTTTGAATAGAAAAATCATCAGCAATGTCCTAACTTTCTTTAAAAAAGAAGCTACAGATGGTTTAATGTTTCCGATTCGGGCTGTAACGAATCCATGTATGCATGTTTCGCACAAATGCAATCATTAATAACATTCTTTGCTCCCCTATTTAATGAAGTTAACTCGACCAGCCGTTTGTGCCATTTGACCTCCTGGGTCATGCATATGCAGAGTAGCTCAGGTCAAGCTGAACAAGCTGTAGTCGACTATATTTACTTTTCAACCTTTTTCCACCACCAATTTGCGTTATTGCAGGTGAAGTGCGCATGTCTAAGCTGGGGTTCCGCACTGCAATAACCGCTACTTTATGAAGGGTGTCCACAGGTTTGGAAAAGGACTGTTTGTGATTTGTCAGTTCGCACGATCTGTACTTATGTAATTTTAGTTGAAAATGTATTCATAAATGAGTTAGTTGTGACCTTTTTACACGTTCATATTTAATATAACAGTGTTAGCAATATCCCATCAATATCAAGGCAGGGACGCCAGAAAAAGGTTTCACTCACTGTACGTAAGTGGGGAAACAGTGAACAGCGGTTTTCGTGACAAGCTTTTAACCTCGAGGCTACCCCATGATGGCTCTGATTATTGCTATCGGCTCATACAGCGTGGACATACCTTTGGGCAGGATCGAACTTGGCTTAACTTGCACATCTGGCTCTTCGTCCTTCGCAGGCAGGTGCGCTGAAACATAAACTGACGATCAGTACACGTACACAGGTAGCAAATGCTCTTCAAAATGAACGGCTTCAGGTCTATGACCTCAGTGTGTAATTACTGATGTTTTGGTCCAACCCGTGGTTAAAATAATGAGCAGCCATCAACACCGTTACGATGTCACAAAACAAGTCTGGGGACTTCTTTTATGGAGGATGCATGTATAACGCATTAAGCTCTATTCCTACGATTTGATTCCGCATGCGTGTCGAGACGAGTGAGCCGGGAGTAGGACCAGATTCATGTAGGTAATATAACGTTAACAAGACAACAGGGCAAGATACGCTCACGTCTTCGTGAACACCTATCTATCATCACTGTTTAAAAGTGATTTATTAACACATGGACCCGAGATGACCCGGGTTAGAATTGGTCTTCAGGAATCCATGCTAAGAGGTAAATAACGGGATCGGGTGGTCAAGCTCGCTCACTTGGTTGACACATGACATCGTTTCCCAGTTGAGAAGATCGATGCTCATGTAATCGATCACTGGATTGTCTGGTGCAGTGTTGATTATTTAGAGACCGCCGCCAAATAGCTGGACTATTGCTGAGTGCGGCGTGTGGAACACATATTAAAACATGATTGTATAGTTGACGTCGTACACTGGATCCTACATTGGGTCGAGATTTCTTATGAATGGTAATGGTTTCTATCGCTTTCATCTTAATCCGACTGCAAATGTTTACATTGACCTATTCTTTATTATTAGTTCCGAACGGGTTGAAAACAAGTCAACAAACATCTGTCTTACGTAGAACGGGTATACAGTTTATACAGCCTCGAGACCCCAGCTAATATTTAATCCCACCAGCCGACAAACAGCATAACATCCCAATCCAGTTTGATGTTAACACGTCATCAAATGTCAGTCTGTCACAGCGTAACGTCGCGCCGAGACCGACTTCATCATTAAGATGAAGAAAATACGCTGCTCTCACAAACAGACATTCCAGTCTACTGATTAATGAGACATTGGTGCAATGGAGCCTCCTCAACAGCTGACGGTGATGTTTGTTGCAGCCAAGCCGGCGTCCATGTGGGCCATCATGGGTGTAATATCAGTTGTATTAGTTACAGTTATGGTGACATGTGTGAAACTCTCATTTCCATTACATACGTAGACATTTAAATGTCACACGTCCATGCTGCCTTGCTTTAGAACACCAATATGTCTACAGCAAATATTAAATCCCAGCTTTCCTATGAATGACGCAAAGGTGTCTGCCGATACATTCTACATGATATTTAAGAACCCTTCTTCTTAAGAATCATCCACTGGTATTGAATCATCCAGAGAACTCTACTTTTACTATACTCTCCCAAAAATGAAACGCATATGTGTACTTTCACGAATATTTCACAGTCAAAAGTCTGTTCACATGTATAGCTTCTAAAATAATTAGTAAGTGAAGGCGTCCGTACCAGGTTGGGCGTTGTATTCAATATCTGTTGTGGCCACCATGAGCCCGAAAAAACTGTTCTACACAGAATAGGCCTTTGAATTCGACCTTGTGAAATTGTCGCCCAGTGCGACAGCTGATCAAACGTCTGGGGCGCCGGTTGACGTCGGCTGAGGTCATCCCACAAATGCTCGATGGGGTTGAGGTAGAAGATCGTGGAAGCACTGTAATGCTCTCATTCAGAAGATACTGAATACAGGCCTGCCATTATCTTGCTGGAACAACTCCCTCTGGCGGCCAATGATCGGAACATGGTAAATCCTTAAGATTTCGTCTCTGTATCGAAATGTTAAATTGACCTAAAGGCGCACAAAGTTCGATATTCGCGTGTAAAATATGTCTCCCCACATCGTGACACCCCACCACCATATCGGTCAACCTGGGCGACACAATTCTGTCAACACTTTCATTTCGACGTCGATAGACACGTACTGTTCCGTCACGGCACTGAAGCAGAAAGCGCGATTCGTCACTGAACCGTACACGTCGCTTGTTTTGTAGATTCAAGAATCGAACTTCATTGCACCACTGGACCCGTTGACGTCGATGTAGTCGTCGCACAACAGGGCCATAATAGGGTCTCCTGGCGCGAAATCCAGCTTCTTGTAAATGAATACGAATGGTTTGTGCCGACACTCCCCTCAGACCCGGCACTGCGCCTGCAGTTGCAGTTGCTGTGGCAGGTGGATTTCGCAAATGATGTACTTATCTTGCGCTGCAGTGGTAATCCGAGGTCTACCATTTGAGGCTCATCTTGCGTAAAATTGGTGTGTTGATATCGGTCCCAGAAACGACTGATGGTTCTCTGGTGAATATTGAGGTGACATAAAACGGCAGATTGGCATTGATTTACAGCAGTGAGTCGCGACACAGCGTTATACTTTTATTTAGTTAAAAAGCGCCAAAGACCGCCTAAAAGCATGCGTCCTCGTACTTTAACTATAATAGTTCAGGGCAAAAGTGTACTTTACTACACTATACATGGTGGGTAGACTGGACTGTATTTCTTAAATAAATACTTCGAGCTGTATATTAACAAGTACGTCGGCTTTCAGGTAACAATACTCGGACGCCCTGCCTTTGTCTGTGCGTCGCGATGACGTCATAATGGTTGTATGACGTCATTGTTTCATAACCAGGGCAATAATGCAATAAAGCACACTGAGCAATGTTTGTGTTTGGGTGTCAATAATCCAGTCTGAACCAGACAATCAAGCACTTGACAGCAAGAGCCTCGATCCAGTTGGGATACGATAACATGTGTCGACCAGGTCAGCGAGCCTAACCACCCGATCCCGTTAGTGGCCTCGTGCAATAAGCATGGGTTGATGAAAACCAATTCTAACCCGGATCTTCAATTATAAGTGAGTGAGTTAGTGAGTTAAGTCTTACGTCGCACTCAGCAATATTCCAGCTATATGGCGGCCGTCTGTAAATAATCAAGTCTGGGTCAGACAACCCAGTGGACAATCCAGCAAGGCAGTATGGACGTGTGGCAATTAAATGTCTACGTAGGTATAGCAAATGAGAGTTTCACACATTTCAACATAATTGTAACTACTACAGCTAATATTACTGTCATGATTGTCAACACAGAAGCCGGCGTTGGCTGCAACAAACATCACCGTTAGTTGTTGAGGAGGCTCCATTGCACCAATGTCTCATTAATCAGTAGAATGGAATGTCTGTTTGTGAGAGCAGCATATTTTCTTCATCTTAATGATGAAGTCGGTCTCGGTGCGACGTTACGCTGTGACAGACTGACATTTGATGACGTCTTAACGTCAAACTGGATTGTGATGTACTGCTGTTTGTCGGCAGCTGGGATTAAATATTAGCTGGGGTCTCGAAGCTGTGTAAACTGTATACCCGTTCTACGTAAGACAGATGTTTGTTGACTTGTTTTCAACCCGTTCGGAACTAACAATATATAATAAGTTCATATTTGTAAACATTTACACAATCGAATTAAGATGAAAGCGATCGAAAACTCTACCCAATGCAGAATCCAGTGTGCAACTATACATTCAACTTGTTTGTTTGTTTAACGCTGCCACCTATATGGCGGCGATCTGTAAATCCAGTGATCAACAGCATGAGCATCGATCTACGCAATTGGGATACGATGACATGTGTCAGCGAGCCTGACCACCCGATCCCGTTACTCGCCTCTTACGAAAAGACCAATTCTATTCCGGATCTTCAATGGCACGCACAGTTACTTTAAGAATGGCAATTTATGGAAGTCATGGCCGTTAAACATGTTAGTGAAAACGGTGCAGCAAGGGTTACACAACGGCATGTCCACTCCAAACCCCGCTTACAGGCAATACAAACATTATTTTCAGCTATTCATTATGCCCTTACATTATTGCCGACACGTTTGTCAGAAGTTAACAACTCTAACATTGCATTTCAGATTGTGAAATATGGTTGGTTCAATACTAATATTATTTTACACGGAAGCGGCATTGATTTACAGATTTCAGGTGTGGCTTGAGTTGACAACTGGCTTCTAGGGAAATTATTTTCAATGAAAGTGCTGTAAATGCCTTCCGGTGATGCTGTGTCAACTTATTGTCGCCTGTGTTTGGGCAATACACAATAGAAATTTTCTAATGCCTTTCTTCCAGCCGGAAAGCATGAACATAAAGCAGAAATATTGTCCTGTCAATATGCTTGTCCAATGTGAGACCAGTTTTTCTTAATTCGCAAATCCTTCCACATCAAAATGTCATCCTGTTTTGTTTCATACATCACACGCTGCATCAGCCGCGAGGCTCCGGGTTAAAATTGGTCTTCCGCCTCCCTCCCGTTTCTAATACCGCCTCATCAGCAAGCCGTGCTTGTACCAACTAACAGACCCGGGTGGTCAGTCTCGCTGCCTCTCATCCCAACGATGGTAATGGTGTCAGTCCCTGGATTGTCTGGTCCAGATTTAATTATTTACAGACCGCCTTCAAATCACTTGAATATCGCTAAGTGCAGCGTTAAACAACCAAAGTCGAGCTCGTATCTTAGAAACGAATTCATTTTTATTCCATGTCTAAGGATAGTCCATTCTACATTGGCAGGAGAACGGATATCATAGAAACATGAATAAATTCTGTTTCCACCAGAATATGATTTGTTAAGAAAATGAATAAGGAAATAGCCATCAATATAAAAAACGACTTCCAAAACCCCTTAACATTCAACTAACAAGCAGTCAAATGATTTATTGCTCCCAAGGACTGTTATGTCGGGCCTTGTCGGTAATAATCGAGTCGGAGAAAAAGATTTTATTCCTCGCATGGGAATAATAAGGTAAAGTTGGCATATGGCCAAAATTGGTATAAAACAATGATCACTATTGACAAGATGTACGATCGCACTTACGATGAATCTAATGTTTATGGAACCATTTTCTCCAATAAAGGCACAGGGTATTGAGCTGTGTACCATGTTAACGAAAACATCCACTAATGCGAGAGACACTGAAGTAATGGAATTTTAATCGATTA